AGAGACGGCCTGTGGTTCTGTGGCCAGGGCCGCAGGGGAAGTGGGCACGTGGTCACACACCAGAGGCGAGATCCTCAGGCCACGTTCGCAGCTCACGGGCGGCCCCTTGGTGCCCACTCCCATTGGGATGATGCTCAGAGGTGCCGGGGGCTCCCGGGAAAGTCTCCCTCAAAATGCCCAGGTTCCAGGAAGCAGGTCGGGCAAGAGGATGAATGTGTCTTCTGCAGGGAAGCCGAGCAGACGGGGAAGGGCAGACTCAGACTCGGCCTGTCCTGAACCAGCCTCCGTGTCAGCAGTTACCCGACAGCTAGCTCTTGGGAAAAGGCTAAGAAAGCACCCGCATGCGCGTCGGGGGAGCAAGAAGCAGCCCCAGGAATGCTTCCAGGGAGGTTGGAGTGACCTGGAAGAGCTGTTTATCAGGCATCGTCCAGTGGAAGAAGCAAGACACCGGGCCTTGAGTCATCCCAGCGAAGTGTAACGTCAACACGGGAGGGAGCTACGTGGAGAGGGGGCGGCCGGCTAGTGGTGAGTCCCGTTCTCAGCGTAAGCTTCATTCCTCAGGGGCAGGGAGGGAGCGCCGCGGCCCAGTAGGGGTTTAGAAAGGTCCCTTTGGCAGTGTGTGTGGGAAGGGCGGAGGGGCCAGGCAGGGATCCCAGGCCTCCGGGCGGGAGAGGCACCGGTGGCGTGGAGGCTGGAGGGAGGGGGCAGCAGGGTCAGCACCAACAAAAGGACATTATGTAAGAGGACACAAGAGTGGAGCTGAATCCCCAGACGCTTCACCCCCAGGGGCTGACCCAGACCTCGGCAAAGGGCCGTGGCCCAGGCGGGGCGGTCACCGCTTCCGGCCAGGCTGGTCTGGCGGCAAAGCCTAGGGCCACGCTTCCATCAAAGTGTCCAAACCACCCCCCTTCACTCCAGGACCTCTGGCCACTTCCCAATAGAGGGAAGTTTGTCACATCCACTTGAGAAAAGACTCTCAAGAAAGGAGCTGTCCTGTCTCACATCTGCCTGTCCCGGGGCTCTGCCGCTCAGGGCCGAGGCCGGGAGTACTGCCCACACTCAGCACAGGCAGGGGCGAGGTCAGAGGTCAGGGCCTCCCCAGAGGGCTCGGTGCATCGCAAGGTGAGCTGGGAGTCGGGTGCTGACCCTGGAACCCGGCCGGGTGGGTAAGGCGCTGGGCGGTTGGTGAGGACCAGCCAAGCACTGGCAGCGACCCACACGCCACTCAAGGACTAGGCTGAGGGACACAGAGAGGGAAGCCCCCCATAAAGATGGGGTGTACTCATGTGCCCTGGCGCAGGGTTGGGGAGATCACGACAGTGGAGTGAAAGTCCCAGCACAGGTGCGACTCAACGCCCTCGTATAGACAAGGTGGACGTGGGGGACAGGGGAGGTCTGGAGGGGCCAGGCCACACTCGAGGGGTTTCTTCTGGGGCGTGGGGTAGCAGGGAGGGAAGATGGAGGGAGGTTTGTTTTTTGCTTTTCACTCTTGGATGGTGCAAGCCATACTCTGTGACTAGACAAGCTTTAAGGGGCTGAATCCTCCGGCAGGGGAATTAGGTTTCAAGAAAGCTGGTATTTTAAAGAAGAATTAGCCAGGGGGAAGGTGAACCCCGCAGAGGGAGGGGCACAGGTAGGGTCAGCCCCTCGCCAGCCCTCACTGGGAATAACCGTGATGGCGGCTGGGGGAGAGCATGTCCATGCCCCCAGAATTTCATCCTGGCCAATAGAATTTCCAGCAGAACTACTGGGAGCGTCAAGGCTGTCCTAGAAGCAGATGCCGGTCCGATGCAGGTCCCCGGCCAAGGGTGCAGACCCCGGGTCCTACTTGCAGCGCCGAGCTCATTCCCTCACCTGCCCTCCTCGCTTCGCACCGCTCTGGCCATTGACAGAAACGCTCCCCACGGCCCCGACCCACCCCCTGTGTGAGTCCCGTCCTCTGGGTCAGGTGGAAGGTGGGTGGACCTAAGCTCCTCCTAGTTCCTTCTGCCACCAGTCACATGGGCCCCCCTCACCGCCCTCCGGAGCCGCGCCAGGTCACCCACACCCAGCTCACGCATGTGCCGACGCAGGAGGCCCACGCAGGAGGCCCACGCAGTGAAGGGCTTGAAAATCCCAGGAGGGATTTTGCATCCACCCTGACTCCAAGGCCTGGGAAAACCTCAGAGGCGACAGCTACAACCCTCCAACACCAAACATCTGCCTGCACCCCCCGTCCACCAGGGAATCAATAACAGAGTAAATGACAGTTTGCGGCAACAGTAGTGAATGCGCAGAGCACGCGCTAAGCCTCCAGCACGGAATATCAGCTCATTACGTCCTTGCCACGGTGCCGAGCAGGAAGGCACTATTCCCATTTTACAGGGCAGGCAGCTGGATGAAGAGGCTACCCACGGTCACGGTAGCCAACACACTGTGGCATCAATGTGGGGACCCGAGTTGGCTCAGGTCTGGAGAAGCGTGGGATCTACTCAGGCCCTGGAGCAGGAAGGGTCTTCAGCCATCAGGAGACACCCACTTCCGTTCACAACTAGGGAAACTGAGGCCCGCCCCCATCACACAGGTGTCCTGGCTCCCAGGCCAGGGCTCTTTCCTCCACGCAAACTCCCTCACAAAAGTAGGTGGGAGCTATCTTGCACCCGCTCCACAGGGCCACTGGTGTGGGAACAAGTCCCTGCTTGCCAGAGGCCTTGAATCCCAGGATGAAAGGTACTGTGGCAGCAGAACAGCACCATAGGCAGAAGCGTGCCTGACCTCTGCCAGGACTTGCAGGCTGGCATTCATTCACCTGCTCACCTGCTCCAGGCGGGCACTAAGCTGCAGGAGCCGCTGGCCAAGCCACAAACCTCGCAGGCCTTGGCGCTCACAGCCTGGAGGGAAGGGGTGTTCCAGAGCTGATGTTTCTATAGGGGCAGCCCGGTCCTGGTCCTCGGGGTGGAGGAGCAGGCCCAGGTAGGGAGGGCTCTGGAATTTTAATTGTCTGGTATGAGAGTGTTCTGCTCCTGGGGTGGGGTGAGCAGGGCGCCCGGATTACCAGAGGTGGCTGGGGCTCACCCTCACTCCCCTGAACTGGAGATTTCCAGGGCAGTTTGCTGCTGTGGAGGGGGATAGAGGTTCGAGGGCTCCCCCCAACCTCCTGCCGTGCCACACTTCAGGAGCCCCCCAGGTGAGCCTGGACCAGGAATGTGAGGCATTTGAAGAGGGTTATTAATAGCACTGAAGTGTTGAGAAGAGAGAGGCCAGCAGGCTCTGATTGCACAGCCCTCTTCACCCAGCCCCGCGTCCACGAAACAAACCTAACCCTGTCCGGGAGAGGACACTTCACCTTTTGTGGGCTCAGTCTCCTCCCTGTGAAATGGCCAGGAGAGGGGGAAGCAGCTGGCAGTTGTGAGCTCAGGAGGTGGGAAGTACAGAGGTACAGTCAGAGCTGGGGGTGGAAGAAGGAAAAACCCCATCGAATACCCCACCCAGACCGGAGAGGGGCCGCCACAGGAGGTGGTGAATGGAGAGACTGTTACAGAGCCCCAGGAGGCTGCCACCAACAGGGAGGGGACAGGAAGACTCCGCCCCGCCTACCTCCTCCCAGAGTCCAGGGCTGCCCTACAAGGAGGCAGCTGGGAACTTAACCCCCTGCTGGTCCGTCTTTGGTCTGACTCATTTCTACATTACCCTCCCCCCTGGCCTGGCCCCAGGCCCGGCACAAGAGGGAGAGGGGTCTCGGGACGCAGGCCCTGGATCACAGACAGTGGGCGAGCTTTCCCCGGCACCTCCTTTGTGCTCAGCAGGGTGGGGACACAGAGCTAAGGGCACCTGGTCCCTGATCTCACGGGGTATGAGCGGGCAGGACACAACTGAAAAGCTACAGGACTGCAGGACACATCGAATAAGTGTAGGTGGACACAGAGCTCTGGGGCCGCTGGACAGGGAGAGGCAACTTCAGCCAGGGGAAGCTGGCTCCTGTCTCCATCGGCTGCCCCGGCCCTCCCCTAACAGGCACCCTGCCTACCGGTGCCTCCTCTGCGCCAGGCCTGTGCTAAGCAAGCTCGTGAATCAGGTCACTTAAGACTCAACAGCTCACAAGGGAAGAAGTCGTTCGACCCACTAAAAAGAAGAGAAAACCAAGGTGCCCCGACTTTGAGAGGCTTGTCCAGGATCTCACGCCCAGGAAACATGCTGGGATTCCACCCCAGCCGGGCCAGGCAGGTGAGCAGGGCAGGCAGGTGAGCCCCCGCAGGGAGTGTCCCAGATGGTCTGAGATTCTCACCCCACCTCTCCCTTCTCCAGGGTTGGTGGGAGAGGAGCCCAGCACCCTCTGGTGCTCGGGGGCGGGGAGCCCAGTGGGCAGCTGCCCTGGCGAGAGAGAGGTGGCCGTTCAGTGACAGGCTGGGGGCAGGGCTGGCTGAAGGGATTTGAGGAGGCTGGGCTTGGGGTTTGACCAGCCCCTGGATTTGGCTGCCAGCAGGAGCTCGGCTGAGCCCGTGCCAGACGCTGAGCTCTGCCGCCCCCTTCCCCCAGCGCTCCCCAGCTATCCCGGCCCCGGCCCGCAGTCCCGGGCGCGCCGGGCTGGCCCCCTGAAGCCTCGGCCACGTGTCCTGCGGCGGGGGCCAGGCCAGCGGGGGCCGGGACGGCTGGGGACAGGCCGGGGCGCCCTCGGCGGCGCAGGGGGCCTGGACTGCCGCCAGGCCGGGGTACCCGAGGCGGGGGCGGGGGCCGGGGACAGTGTTGGAGACCCGGGAGACCAGCTCGCAGGGCTTTCCGGCGGAGGAGACGGGCCGGGGTGGCCTCGGATCCCCGCGAAGGGCCGAAGGACGCGCGCACAAAGGGGCGGGAAGGGGCCCCGCCGCGGAGGGGCCGGGGACGCGCGGACGGGCTGGTGGCGCCGCCGCCGGCCCGGGCCCGACCTCAGAGACCCCGCGCCCCGCGAGCACGGCGGGCCGGGGTGGGGGTGCGGCCGGGGGCCTCCGCGGACCCCGCTGCGAGTCCTGCCGCCCGGGACCCACCTGCGATGTGCTGGCGCCGCGCGTCGTCCAGGTGCGTGGACAGCACGTCCCCCATGGCGAGGAAGGGCCGCCGGCCGCCCCCGCTGCCCGCGCCGCTCAGGCGGACGCCGCTGGCGCCATGATCCCGGCGCGCCCGGATCCGCCGCCTCCCGTGGCCTCCGCTCCGGCTGGCGCTGCTGCTCCGGCCGCGAAGCTCCCGCGGGCCGCCTGCGCCGCGCGCCAGAGCCGGGGCCCAGCCGCCCCGCGCGCCCCGCCCCGCCCCGCCCCGCCCCGCGGCCCCGCCCACCCCGGAGAGCCCCGCCCACGCGGAAGCTCCGCCCCTTTTGGGAGCCCCGCCCCCGGCCGCTAGTGGGCGGGGCGGGGCCGGGGGCCGGGGCGCCCGAGACAAAGGGAAGGGCCGAGGCCGCGGGAGGCGCGCGGAGAGCCGCACCCGCCCCGGGTCGCAACGAAGGCGGGTGGGGGCGTCTGCAGGACGGGGTGTCTCCCCCTCCCCGACAGGCGCCAGAAGAGCCGCTCGGAGGAGGACGGGGGGAGTGGGGACGCCTGGGCTGAAGAAGTGCGGGGAGCGGCGTGGCGCCCTCTGCCCCCTGCCCCCTGCCCCCTGCACCCTGCCCCCTGCCCCTGCACCCCTCTGCCCCCAGCCCTCCCGCCGCTGCCCTTTCTCAAGAAGTTCCCCGCCCTTGATCGGACACGCCCCCGAGGTGTGCCGGCCCGTCTTGCGCAATCTGCAGGGTTAGGGGCGTGTTCGTGGAGGACTTGCACCCAAAGCACCCCACACCCGTGAGTGCCAGGCGGGCCTTCCTCTGGCTCAGCAGATGGCCATTGCCTTTGGGGGCTGCTTGTGGGACAGGGCGAGTCAGGAATGGGGGAACCCCACTTTGCAGTTTATGGAAGACTCAGATTAAAAACAGGGTGGCACGGACTTTGGGTACCCGAGTCTGCAGGGCTGGGCGTGGGTCTGCGTTCCAACCCCCCATGCCTCCCAAGTCGGTAGGGGAGAGAGTCAGGTTCACAGCTGGGGTTCCCAAATCATGGACGGGGTGGCAGAGGCCTTTCTGGGCTGCTGATTCTGCTCCTTACCCCGCCGGTGGCTGAGCACTCACCACCTGCCTGTGCATCCTGCCCTGTGATTGGGCAGCTCTCACTGCAGCTGTGACAGGCAAAAATGATGACAATAAAAGCTAACGTTATCCAGCCCGGGCACTTCCACCCTGTCAACACCACAAAAGGAAGCTTTGAAGTTGATTCACGGGATATCGGCACTCTTTCATGCTTTCAGTAACTTACCAGTCATTCAGCAAACAGGTGATCCACACCTGCCAGCCAGGCCTTCTGCAAGATGCTGGGAGCGAAGGCACGAGAAAGCCCAGGCTGCCCTACCAGCTCTGTGACCCTGGACAATTTGGCCTTCCATTGAACCTTAGCCTCCCTGTCAAGTAAGGCTGAAACAAGTTACCCTGGATAAGTTGGCCTTGCGCTGAACCTCAGCCTCCCCACCTGTCAAAGTGATGCTTTGTTGTGAGGATTAGCTGAGATGCAGAGTCCTGCATAGGGTCAGTCACCCCTCACAACATACCACCCACCGTCCTATTCATCCGGGTCCCTGGCCCCAGGAAGCTTGCACACTCTGTTATGAGGAAGATCACAGAGGGAGGGAACCAGAGCTGAAAAACCAGAATTTTGACAGTAGATACTGGGGAACAACATTCCAGGGAGTGGGGACAGCAGCGAGAGGGACCGGGCCGCAGAAGACATGGTGCCTTCCTGCAACAGTGTCATCAGGTGGAGCTGAAGCAAACCGCAGCGATTACTAGCTTCCTTTTCCAGAGACGGACACTGAGGCCCAGAAAAGGAAAGTGACTTGCCAAAGTCACACAGCAAGGTGGAGGCAGAACCCAGCCAGAGGCCAGGTCTCCCAACACCCAAGATCCAGTTGTCTCTGAGCAACAGAAGCCAGGGATGCTGCTAATCTCGTTTCATTTTTCCCACCGCCAAACTCTCAGGGCTGGAAAGGCCTGCTCTGCGCCGGCAGGGGATAGCTGGAGCCAGCTGGCATCTGGACATCCCGGGGCGTCTCCTCGGCTGGGCTGAAGGCCTGGGCCAGTTGGGGGAGAGGTGGGGCCGCAGACTGCTTTTCACCAGCCTTCATGGTATCCCCAGGTCTATGAGCCTGGAGCACCCACAAACCAACCTGGAGGCCCTCCCTCTTGGCTTTGGACTCTGTCATGTGTCAGCTAGCCCCTCTGTTCGCCCATGGTCTCGCATGTGTAAGGCAAATGAGTTCGTGCAGTAGAAGGGCATTGCAAACTGTGGGGTGCTGTGCCCACATGTGACCAGCTCCCCACTGACCTTGGGGCCAGTCCCTTCCATTTCATGATTCATTCAATTCACAAACACAAAATGGCTTTGTCTAGAGAGAGGTGGGCGGGGGGACTGCAAAAAAGTCAGGAGAGAACTTTTGGGTGATGGGAATGGTTTATGCTGGGGTGATGGTTACACAGGAGTACGTATTTGTCAAAACGCATCAGACTTCACCACTGAAAACAGATGCATTTGAGTGTGTAAATCAATTCGGTAACTTTATTTTTTTTTTAAAGATTTATTTATTTATTTATACAAGTACTAAGTACAGTCAGCAGCGCGGGAGGGTGAGAGAATTCACCAGAGCCAGAGCGGGGAGCAGAGCAGGCAGAAGGACCGAAGTACACTGCTGAGGGGAGCAGCGGGCGGCAGGAGAGGTCTGCGCGCCATGTGGGACCCTCCTCCGGTGAGTGGCCGGGGAGCAGCCCGGGATGGAACTGGCGCCGCAGAGGCCGCGGGCAGCTTCGCAACCCAGCGCTCAACCGCTGCGCCACCGGGGAGGCCCTCAATTCAGTAACTTTAAATCAATAAAGGTTGATTTAAAGATGAAAAATGAAAAGAACAGCTGCCGAGTGCCAGGTACTATTCTAAGTCTGGAGGGCACACCCTGTGAGATAGTCAAGGTGCCTGCCCTTCCCAAAGTTGTGTTCTCACGCTGGAAGAAGAAAGACAATAAATAATTAAGATGGCTTTAGAGAGTGATGAACATTAATAAAACAAAGCAAGAGTCAGACCTAAGGTGACAGATATAGGGATGTCCCCTAGGAAGTTAGTCTAAGAAGGCTTCTCTGAGGTGGTGACTCTTTGAGTCTGACTGGCAAGAAGAAGCCAGCTCCTTGGAGATCCAGGTGGCACACACCAGCTATCATGCCCAAGGCTTCCATCTCATCCAGTTCTCACAACTGCTTTGTTGGTGGATGTGAGGGTCTTTAAAAGATAATATTCCATTCTACCCATATAGCTATCCTGATTCAAACGCTGGCTGAGCAGGCCTGCCAAGGGCAAGAGTGAGCCAGTGAAGGTGTCAGGGTGAGTAAAGGCAAGGCGGAGGCTGCCTTCTGGGCCCTGGGGCCTGCCGGCTATTTCTAGACTCCAGCAGGAAAGAGGAGAACCCGCCCCCCCCATCAATTCAGGTGGGAGCTTGAAAGTCCAGAACAAAGGGGTTTTATTTTATTCTGGGAAGGTTGTAAAGTTTTCTGAAAGGTCTCAGCACTCCACTACTTTATGTTAATAAATCAAGCCAGTTATGATCTTTGGGTGGAGGAAAAATAACATTTTTTTAAGGAAAGGAAAATGAATATAGGCATCAGCAGTCTATGAGGCAGACAGAAAGATCCAGGAAGCTAGAGCTCAGGAAAATGTCTTCATTCCAAAATTTGGGGGACCCCTGCCCCTATTCTGGAGACTGCCTCATGTTCAGTTTTTTGTTTTGAGTAAATTAGGGCACCTTTTCATACATTTATTGACTATTTGTGGGTTGTTATTTTTGTTATTTGTTTTCTTCAAATTGATGTGTTCTGCCTGCTTTTCTACTGGAATATTTAGCTTTTTTCTTACTGATTTTTTTTAAGATTTATTTTTATGTATGCATACAAGAGCTGGAGTGTAGGCCAGAAGTGTGGGGGGTGAGTAGATTCACCAGAGACAGAGTGGGAAACAGAACAGGCAGATTGACCGAAATACCCTGCTGAGGGGAGCAGCGGGAGAGAGGAGAGGTCTGCTGCTCCTTGTGGGTCAGCACCCTGGCCAGCTGGTGATCCAACTCCTGCTGTAGTGGCTGTGGATAGCTTGATAGTGCTGAGACTTAACCCTTTGTGCCACCAGGGAGGCCCCCTTATTGATTTTTAAGAGCTTTTTCTTTCTTTTTTTTTCTTGAAGACTTATTTTATTTATGCATACAAGAGCTGGGGTGTAGGCCAGAACTCTTTCTATAGAAAGAATGTCTGGACTCTGCGAGGCAGGGGGAGGTCTCTACTCTTTTTCTAGGGCTCAGGTGACCTCTCTTTCCATTGGTACTCCCACACCCTTTGCTTGGCTGGGCTCAGAGCCTGGCAAAAGATAACAGGCATGTGGACAAAGAATAGGTGTGATCCAGATCTGGAGCAGGGAGTGGAGGTTCCCTCTGCCCACCTGCTGGGCCTGCCCCCTCAGGGCAGAGGATGCCACCTACAGCCCCTGATTCACCAGTTCTTTGTTAGGAAGTGGCTTCTGCCACATTGCCATCCTGCAGAGCTGCCCCACCCTGCCCCTCCCTAAAGCACTTCTGGAACCAAGGACAAAAAGCTAAAGAATAGCAATATTTGACTTTGAAAGAGAGGAGAGGGTCCAGAAGGTCAGAGCCAGAACTTGGATGAGGCCTGGAGAAGGGAAGAGGTTGGTGTAGTCTCCAGACGATAGAGAAGGGGCCCAGGCCGGTACCCCTCCTGGTCTTGCAGGAAGAGGGAGTGGCCCTTCCTAGCCCCACTGGTCCCTTGCCCTCCCCTTGGCTCTGAGCCCCAGCTCTGCTCTCCCCACAAACCTGTCAGACCTGAAATAGCCCGGGAGAAAAAAAAACAAACACCTCAGGTAAACAACAGGGAATGTGAATGAATCAGGATTTTGTTTTTAAGGAATATCATGTGTCCACTGCTGTTTACCCAGTTGGCCTGGCCCGTTGTGCGGAAGGGACCCTGGCACCCCGCCCAGACCTCCCCTCTTCATTAACTGTTGGGTGGTGGAAGGAGACTCAGCTCACAGCCTTTTCCATCTGTCACCTGGCCTCTGGCTGCTCAACTCCCTTCTTGCTCCTGCAGCAGCCAGGTCCCTGCCACACCCA